ACGCACGCACGCACGCGCACACAAACACACACACACACACAAACACACACACACACACACACACACACACACACACACACACACACACACACACACACACACACACACACACACACACACACGTACTCATATATATGTGAATATAGTATACATGTACACGCACTCAAACGCGTACATACATGTATGTTCATAATATATTCACATAAAGATCCCCGCACACAATGAAGTGTGTAGCCGCCTTAACTTCCCGGTTGTAAATATCGGTGATCACGTTTTGTGTTTATGAATATCGGTCCCGAATTGTATGCATTTTCGCCGCGTTGCTGTTATATTTTCATTGTTGTTCTGGTCAGACCAATCGGCCCTTGCTCTAGGCGTTTCACGTGGGATGTTCACTCTGGCCTGCCCTCGCGTAGTCACTTGAGACATTGGAACCTATCTCAGAGGGAGGCTAATAAGAAACCAAAGCGCCTCTCCTTACCACAGACCTATCAGCTGACCTCTATGGTTTTAGAATTCCGTTAAAAAGGGATCTTCATAGACGGTAGATATAACTGGGTTCGAGTCCTGATTACGGACTCTTGCTTTGATGGTTGTCCTCCGAGTAGGAAATTACCCCGTCTTGCAACTCTCCAACTGTATTAACAGAGGAAGTTGAGGGTCTTCCTAACAGCTTCGTGTCTCAGGATCCACTTATAGACTTTAATGACCAGTTCTGGAGTTCGACGAACTTTTTTTTTTGAACTGGAATTGTGTACTTTGCTCCATAAACAGTGGAACTTGGAGCATAAACTTTTAAGCTTCATTAACTGACGCACAATCCTTCGTTTCTAATACTCCTTTCTGTTATTGTAATTAGGCAGTATTTGAATTTTTCACCCCTATATTACAACATTTTATTACCATTCTCGTTCAAGTAGTTTTGTCCACTACATATAAACTTCTTATCCACGTACTTATTATATCACGTGTTTCTGAATAGCAGCTCTCATGAAAGAAAAAGAGCAATTATAATCAAGGTGTTTATACATTGGAGGAAGTGTCATGAGACCTTGAGAGAAATCACCAGCTGGTACCGCCTGTCCCGCCCCTTTGTTCAGCTGCACGGCAAAGGTGTGGTTACCATGTAAAGTATAATCCATTCATTACCTTAGTACACAAAGCTGTGCATTAAGTTATTTTTCTTACAAAATGTGTATTGTGTAATATATACATATATGCGCACACACACACACACACACACACACACACACACACACACACACACACACACACACACACACACACACACACACACACACACACACACACACACACACAGAGAGAGAGAGAGAGAGAGTCTGTACTTGCAGACTTTCAGGCGCTAAAAGAAAAGAAACAACAGGACAGACTGAAAACCACTTGATTCAGTGTAGACAGCAACGAAGGATAAGTACCAATTATTCTTTGTTTAAGGGCCTCGGTGTGACTGACGCCAGTTCATGTCTATACGTGCGTGCGTGCGTGTGCGTGTGCGTGTGTGTGTGTGTGTGTGTGTGTGTGTGTGTGTGTGTGTGTGTGTGTGTGTGTGTGTGTAATGGGTACCCCAATCGCCTTCAGTGGAACCACCGCCATCACCGGCAGACACTTGCTCCTCCCTCTAAATATAAAGCAGCAACATCTAATAATTAACTCGACGTACATCAACTAAATCTGCCTTTCCTAGAAGTCGTCCAAACAAAAACACCAGCTTTCTCCCTCTATAGAAAGCCTGGCCCCCTCCCCCCGCCCCCCTGCCCTTTCCTTAATGCGTCCAAGCGATGGAAATAGATGCCTTTTTTCTCTCTTACGCGAGACGGATATAGCAAGTGGTATTCACTGATTCTAAACGCGCGCTTGCGGTAGGAAAGGAGGAGGGGGGTTGGAGGGGGAGGGGGGGGGTTATCCATCGGGTGTGTGCGTGCGCGCGTGTGTGAATAAAGCACTGAAGTTACTTACGAGGTTTGCATGTCATCATCTTCTGGCACCGTGGCATCGGGTGATTTGCTAGCCCTTGGCGGTGCCAGGCTATGTGAGGTGGAAATAGGGCAATTAGCGGGAGATAGGGGATGAAAGGGAGACGGAAGCGGTAATAAAATGAATTGCCTGGATGAAATATTGGCGCACCTACGGCAGGTGGAGGCGGAAAACCGAGGCGATGGAGGTGTGAGCTCGGAGGAGAGTCGCGCTTAAACTCGACGTGACGAGAGGGTGGAGGGGATCTAGGCGCGCACTCACTCACTCACACACACGGGAAGGAATTTGAAACTGCGAACAAGAAAGAAAGAAGGAAAGGAGGAAAAAAATATATGTCCCTGATTTAAAAACGAGTGAGACTTTTCTTACACACACATACACATATATGTGTGTGTGTGTGTGTATATATATATATAGATAGATAGATAGATGTGTGTGTGTGTCTATATATATATATATATCCATATATATATATATATGTATATATATATACACACACACACGC